GAATCGTGTAGGGAACAGCAGTCTATGCAAGGAACAGTATGCCTCAAGGCTGTGAAGAATAGAATGTAACATATTTAGGGAACTGAAAGAAGGCCAGGGCTCCCATAATTTAGCCAACTGGGTTCCCCCCCTCCCAAGGACAATGGAAACCCCTAAACATTTTTAATTAGGGGGATGACCTGTCCAAATATATGTTTTAAGATTTTGCTGTGTTTGGGACCAGCAGTTAGCATAATGGCTATGTCACTGGACTCCCATGTAGTAGACCGTGGTTCACGTCCCGGACCCGGTGACTTAAAAAACTCATGCCGGGTGTGTGTGCATGTGTGCCCAAGATCCCGAGAGGAGAATGGAGGAGAAGGGCTTGCATTGGTGGCCATCTACCCTGGGGGGGGGTGATTTCTCGCTTTCTGCCTCTCTGTTTCTGTCTGTCTAGCGAGCGCACGCGCCCTATAGCAAAAACCTCTCAAAAAAAAGTAAGATTTTGCTGTGTTTGAAGCATAGATTTAGGGGGAATGGTGAATTTAATAGTATCTTCAACTACAGTGTTTGAATCCTTTATATTTTTGGTGTGAATATTAACCCTGTAACTAACAAAACTCAGAGAAGGTAAGTGGCTTAGCCAAAGTCCTTCAACCAGCAATTAAAGAATTAAGACTAGAACCTAGTGCATTTGGTGTCTCATTTAGGATGCCAGCATGCTGCCATAGTAGTTCTTTATTTTTTGATAAGAGAGTTTTGCTATGGGGTTCATTCACTTGCTGGAGATTCAGGGAGAGACAGACAGAAAGTGAGAAATCACCACCCTCAGGGGGCATGGCCACACTGCAATCCCTTCTCCTCCATTTTCCTCTCAGTATTTTGGGCACACATGTATACACATCCTAAGAGGAGAATGGAGGAGAAGGGATTGCGGCGTGGCCATCTACCCTGGGGGGGGGTGATTTCTCGCTTTCTGCCTCTCTGTTTCTGTCTGTCTAGCGAGCGCACGCGCCCTATAGCAAAAACCTCTCAAAAAAAAGTAAGATTTTGCTGTGTTTGAAGCATAGATTTAGGGGGAATGGTGAATTTAATAGTATCTTCAACTACAGTGTTTGAATCCTTTATATTTTTGGTGTGAATATTAACCCTGTAACTAACAAAACTCAGAGAAGGTAAGTGGCTTAGCCAAAGTCCTTCAACCAGCAATTAAAGAATTAAGACTAGAACCTAGTGCATTTGGTGTCTCATTTAGGATGCCAGCATGCTGCCATAGTAGTTCTTTATTTTTTGATAAGAGAGTTTTGCTATGGGGTTCATTCACTTGCTGGAGATTCAGGGAGAGACAGACAGAAAGTGAGAAATCACCACCCTCAGGGGGCATGGCCACACTGCAATCCCTTCTCCTCCATTTTCCTCTCAGTATTTTGGGCACACATGTATACACGCCTGGTGTGAATTTCAAGCCACCGGGTCTGAGACTCGAACCGTGGTTGACCACGTGGGAGTCCAGCACCTTAAACACTACTAGACCCACCATAGCAGTTCCTAACCTGGGTGCACGTCTGAATTTTCTATGGATATTTTAAGAAGAGATGTGTTGACCTCCCCAACAGGGATTCTAATCCAATAGATTGTAAATAGGGTAAATTCCATGAAGCAAGAATTTTGTGTGGGTTGCTCACAGTATCATCAGCATTTTGCCCAATGTCCAGTGCACAGGAAGTGGGGCGAGTGGTAGGATTGGGGGATGGGAATGAATTGGTTGGGGTGTGGATAGGGTGGCTGGAAGTGGCCCTGTCTCTTCCCTTTTCTCAGTATAATCTCCATTAGCCCTTAAATCTTCTCATCTTGTCGCCTGAAGACTTGCTAATTATTCAGGACAGAACCATTACTTGATTTGCACAGCGCTTTTCTCTTTGCCTTTATGAGCTGAAAATACCTTTGCATCTTATTTTCCAGCATCATAATCTCCAAGTAAAAAGATAGAGGCAAGTAGAATAGAAAAAAAATAGAAGTGTGAAGAAATCAACTAATTCCTAAGATCATGTAATCAGTGTCAAAACCTTGAAGGCAGATTTTCTTATCCCCTCAAGTGATATCTAACCCCTTCATTGCTGTACATTCTGGATTCTTCTCCCTTGCTGTTAGGCTTCAGCACGAAGCAGTCATTGCTTCGAAGCTGTCCATGAAGAGGCCCATACTTAGTCTGGCTTTGTCTAGTTGGGATGCTCAGATAGAAATATGTGATGGTACATACTTGAACTAATGGGATGAACTCCTTTGATTTTGTGAGCTTTTTCTTCTTTCTTTCCTCTCAGGTGGTGTTCCATCTTTGATAGGTGGTCTTTTCGTTGGATTTTTGGCTGGTTATGGAGCTTACCGTGTCTCCAATGACAAGCGAGATGTAAAACTGTCACTGTGTAAGTAAGACATTTCCCCAGTGATGGAGATTGCAATCTCAGGGGTGGCTTTTTGATAGTCTGTACTAGGTTTACTAGAAAATATGTAATCAGAGACTAACAGATGGTGCAATGGTTATATTGCTGGGCTCCCATCAACCACGGATCAAGTCCCAGACTCAGCAGCTTAAAGCTCACACTGGGCACATGTGTGTGCATGCCCCAAATCCCGAAAGAATGGAGGAGAAGGGATTGCTGCATGGCCATCTCTTGAGGGGGTGATTTCTCACTTTCTGTTTCTTAATGAGCGCACATGCCCTGTAGCAAAAATCTCTCTTAAAAAAAAAAAGAAAGAAAGAAAGAAAATATGTAATCAAGTGGCTAGTGGCCATGTGTTGAGACTAACTACAACTCTTGTTCCTTTCTCGACAGACAGTTCCGATCATAAATAGCATTACTGCTACAGGCCTCCCAACTCATAACAGTTCTATAAAATTTGTTCCTAGGAAAGTTAAATTCAATTAGAAAAAGCAAAGAATTATTCTCAAATTTTCTGACTCTCCTAGCTGCATATTTAGCACAGTTTTTTAAAGAATTATTTATTTAATTTTATTTATTCATTCATTTATTTTTAATTTGACAGAGAGAGAGAGACACACACACACACACACACAGATTTATTTAGCTTTATTTATTTATTTATTTTAATTTGACTAGAGAGAGAAAGGGAAAGTGAGAAAGCAAGCCACTAAGTCTGGGACTTGAACCATGATCAACCAGGACAATGTGTCCAGCGCCTTAACCACCATGCCACCTGCTGGTCCCCAAGCATAGTTTCTATGTTGTTATAAAAAAATACCTAAAAAGAGACAGACTTGCATTATTTTATTAATCCACAAATAGTTTTTAAATTCTTTGCTGCCTCAAGGCTTAATCAAGAAAATCAAAACTGAGCCTTTTTTTTTTTTTTTTAATCTTTTCTTGTTGGACTTAGGAGAAAATACTAAAACCTGAATGTTTAAAGTTTTAGGATATGTGGTTTTCTTTCTCTCTCTCTTTTTTTTTAGCTTGGCAAGGAATACAGTGACAGTTTGGAAAACCATACCAAGGAAATTGTCTCTATTCGATGTGATTATTATTCAAAAGGCCATAATGGGATATGGAAGAAAATACAAATGAAGATAAAATTATATCAGTTCTATTTCAGGGACAGAAAGAGGGTTTTTCTCCTTTACTTGTTTTAAATAGGGGCCCAAGATATTTTTAATAATGAGATTGTATTAGATGATAAAACTATATGAGCCAGACAGAGTGGACTTTTGTTCATATCTATTAAGTATGAGGTCATCAGGAATGTCATGACATATTTTTCTATGCAAAAAATGTGTCATGACTTTCTCGACAACCTAGTTCACATGTGTTTGTTAATCAACTTACTTTTTTATATCAATATACAGTTTTTCCTTGAAATTTTTTTTTCATCAGTGCCCTAATCTCTTCCATAAAACTACTACCATCTCCATATTAAGAAACTTCCATGTAGCCACCAGATGGCATGATGGTTAAAGTACTGGACCCCACATGGCTGGTTCCACAGTTCAAGTCCTGGGCCTGGCAGCTTAAAAAACATATCAGGTGTGTGTGTGCATGCATGCCCAAAATCTCTAGAGGAGGATGGATGAGAAGATACTATAACATAGCCATCCTCACCCCCCGGGGGGGTAGATGATTTCTCAGTTTGCCTTTCTCTCTGTGTGTGTCTCTCTCTAGCAAGTGCACATATCCAATAGCAAAAACCTTAAACAAACAAACAAAACAGACAGCTCCTAAAAGGCTGATATGATGCTTCTGAATATGATGATATTACTTAGACTATAATTTAATCTCCAGGTATTAAATTTTCCAAAGCGGAATGTTACGAACAAAAGCAGCTTTCTTCCTACTATTACTTTATTAATCAGATCTTACTTTTTAAAGAAGTACTGGGGACCAGCTCCTAGTCTAGTGGTTAAGGGAGCCAGATCCTACATGGCTGATCACACTTTGGGGCCCAGTCCAGTCCCGGCAGCTTGAAAAAAACAGTAGATGGGGACCAGCAGATAGTGTAATGGCTATGTCGCTGGACTCCCATGTAGTCCACCATGATTCGAATCCCAGACCTGGTGGCTTGAACTCATGCTGGGCACGTGTGCATGTGTGCCCAAGATCCCAAGAGGAGAATGGAGAAGGGATTGCGGCGTGGCCATCCCCCCCTGGGGGGTGATTTCTCGCTTTTTGTCTTTCTGTCTCTCTCTTTCTGGAAAGTGCATGTGCCCTATAGCAAAAGCCTCTCAAAAAACAAAAACAAAAAACCACAGTGGGATGTAGGTGTGTACGTGGCCCAATATCCCAAAAGGATGAAGAAATGGAGGAAAAGGGATTACAGCATGATCATGCCCCATTGGGAGGTATGTTCTTCCTCTCCCCTCACCCATTGTTGACAAACACAAACACATTCTGGTAATTAAAAAAACAAAGTTACTAGTTATTTTTCTTATATTTAGTTAACTAAACTCTTATGGAGTATCTCCTGGGGGTCCAAGTCTCTGAGAAAAAGTTGAGTAGGATAAGACAGTCAGAGCCTGTGTTCTAGAGGAATAGGAATTTAGGTTTGAAAAGACTATTTTTCAGCCAGCTAATGATGAGCTAATTTATAAAGCTTTAATAGAACACTCTATCTTTTCAGGAGAACAGCAACTCAGTGCCTGTGCCTAGTCATTGTGATATTAGAAAGCGTTCAAACAGTAGCCATTTTTTCACAGGCAGGCATTGATAACGTGTCTGAAACTCTGGTTTGGTTTTCAGTTGCAGCTTTCTTCCTGGCCACCATAATGGGTGTGAGATTTAAGAGGTCAAAGAAAATAATGCCCGCTGGCCTGGTTGCAGGTTTAAGGTAAGAAAAACTATTTTGAGCTATACTTTCTTCTGCTGTTGTCTTGAAGTGCATTTTTGGCAAACTTCTACTTCATTTTTTGAAAGGTCAAAGTAATGTTTATTACAGTAAAGCAAGACTGTAAAAATCCTTAACATATCACGGATTCCATCGCTCTTTGGTATCGCTGTGCACATGGACATTCTTTTTTTTTTTTTTGAAGAGGTTTTTTTGCTATAGGGCGCCAGACAGAGAGAGACATAGAGACAGAAAGCGAGGAAATCACCCCCCAGTGGGGATGGTCACGCCGCCGTCCGTTCTCCTCCATTCTCCTCTTGGGATCTTGGGCACGCACGCACACACGCCAGGCGTGAGTTTTAAGCCACCGGGTCTGGGACGCGAACTGCGGTTGACTACGTGGGAGTCCAGCGACATAG